AAGCCAAATAGCCAAGATAAAATCATGTCCAATTCAGTCCATATGTGTGGTCGATAACTTTGTTCTGTAGCCGGTTTCAACCATTACTCTGGGAATGCTTCCTTCCATAGCCAGGATTTCACCAGCCTCCTGAAGGACAGGAGGGAGGGGGCAGATCTGATCTCAATCAGGGGAGAGTTCCATAGCCGAGGGGCCACCACAGAAAAGGCCCTGTCTCTCGTTCCCACCAGACACAATTGTGAAAGTGGCGGGACCGAGAGCAGGGCCCCACCAGAAGATCTTAATTGTCTTGATGGTTCATAGGGGAGAAACAATATCATACGAAAGCTGACTGGCACAACCTGGGGATCACAACCAGATACAGTGAAGACATCTGCCCTTGCGCTGTGCTACTCTGCTTCTGAGTATGCATGCCCAGCATGGAACACATCTCACCACACTAAAACAGTGGATGTGGCTCTTAATGAGACATGCCACATTATCATGGGGTGTCTGTGCCCTATACCACTGGAGAAATTACACTGTTTAGCTGGTATTGCACCACCTGACATCCGCCAGGAAGTAGCAGCCAATAGTGAAAGGACCAAGGCAGTGACACCTCCAGCGCATCCACTGTAATATTATTAGAAGTAGCAGCCAATAGTGAAAGGACCAAGGCAGAGACATCTCCAGCTCATCCCCTGTTTGGGTATCAGCCAGCACGTCAACGACTTAAATCTAGAAATAGTTTTCTAAGATCTACAGAGACACTCACTGGAACACCTCAGCAAGCGAGAGTCCAAAAGTGGCAGGCTCAAACCCAGAACCTCAACCAATGGCTGATACCAAATGAGAGACTCCCCCCTGGGCACACAGAAGACTGGGCGACTTGGAAGGCGCTGAACAGACTGCACTCTGGCACCACAAGATGCAGAGCCAACCTTCAGAAATGGGGCTACAAAGTGGAATCCTCGGCATGCGAGTGTGGATAAGAGCAAACCTCTGACCACCTGCTGCAATGCAACCTGAGCCCTGCCACAGGCACAAGGGAGGACCTTCTTGCAGCAACACCAGAAGCACTCCAAGTGGCCAGATACTGGTCAAAGGACATTTAACCAACTACCAAACTCACACATTTTGTATTTTGTCTGTTTGTTTGTTTGTTTGCTTTGTTCTGTTAGAAATGTAAAATAATTTGACTGGTTATTCTGACACGACAAATAAAAAACAAATAAATAGGGGAGAATGCATTCAGAAAACTAAACTGGGCCGGAACCATATAGGGTTTTGTAGATTAAAACCAGCACTGTACTGGGACTGTGTTCCTAAAGGAATGTTCTCAGCCATTTTCATATGTGCTTCCCACTTGTGACAAATGAGAGGTGGTCCAAGCTTCTGTCCTAACTTTGGATTGCTCATTGTTTGTGACAAAGTTTCTGGTTTTGGTTTTAAATTATCTGTGAAAAATTTAGTATGTTGACATAAAGGAGATACCAAGACTTGTTTGATTTATTCCTCTCTCTTTTGGTCTTTTTCACCTTCCTTCTCTTTTTTTTTCTTTAATGTGCATTTTTGCCTTAAAATGCCAGGCTTATTTTATCTGCCCATTTCTTCTAGTACAAGGTAGTGCAGGTACTGGGTCTGGATGCTGCCCTGGGCTAGATGAGAGCAAATTAGCTGCATTCTGATAAATGGACAGGATTGGTAAAAGTTCTAGGTAGGCAATCTAAGATGGATGGAGTTGCAGGCAGGGAATGGTCAGAGATCAATTTCTATTAATAGTGGCCCAGAGTGCTTGGGGACAGTTTTAGATGGCCTGCCAGTACTGTGCTGTCGCATGCTGGGCCTGTGCATAAGACTGTAGACAGGACATAAATTCTGTGTGCCCAACGGGACGCCGGGGCTGCCTCAGATAAAAGATCTTTGGATTTCCTTAAAACACAGTCTCTAGAATGTTCAAAGGTTCAACAAAGTTCTTTATTAATGAAAACAAACAGGTATTTTAAGGCTTTCTTAACAGTCTATTGGCTCTTTCAATCTTGTCCACAGGGAACAGGCACTATCTTCATAAACTGTACATTAAATAATGGGGAAATCCTTAACTTCTAATCTGGGCAGTCTATCTTTGCCTCTGTTGGCAAAGACAACACCCGATACCAACTGCGTCTGGCTTCCGCGAGTGACCCTTACCAAGCAGAGCTTTGTAGACCTCCAGGGGGAAAGGAGTTCAGGTTTCAGTGATGGTTGACTGAAGTCCCTCCGCAAAGGAGCTGTAAGGCTGTATGATCCTCGGCCAAGCTGTGGGCTGTATAACCCTGGCCAAGCTGTGGGCTGTATATCTCCCCAGCCAAGCCGTAGAAGACGAAGCTTTCTACAGGAGCTCTTGGTATTATGTTCTGCAATGAAAGCTTCTCTGTGTGGACTGAACCAAAAAGGCTCCTATTCCCTCCAAAAACCCAAAAAGGGGGCAGGACCAGGGAACCTAACTATAATTGACAGGTGGCTTGCCCTATGATTGCAGACAAAAGAAGCCACCTATCTGTAGAGTCCCTGAAACTTAGGACTATAACAAACATTCAATGCAAAGCAAACAAAATTGGAGCTCCTGGTACAGCTGTACCTGCACAAGTACACTTACCCTATCTCTCATTGTAGCTGGATTTTTTTCCAGTGCCTGTTTGGACAATCGTCTTGCCCATATTCTAAGATTCCAGAAGCACTTTACTACCCATTGGGTTGGTCTCCCTACATTATCTTTTAAAACCCTCCTGCTTAGTTACATCCTACCTCTGTTCACGCCCAGTGTTTATTTTTTTTAAAAATTAATTTATTACATCTGGCCCAGCCATAAGGTTTTAAATTCTCTGTGTTATTGTTTATATGTGAGTTATATTAATTGTACTGTTTTATTTGCTTGCTGTTTTGCTTTTACTGATGTGTTGTTGGGCTTGGCCTCATGTAAGCTGCCCCGAGTCCCCTTGGGGAGATGGTGGCGGGGTATAAATAAAGTATTATTCTTATCATTGTTGTTGTTGTTGTTTTTAAAAAGCCAGTATCTAGCTCTTAATATTCTAGGGTATTTAAGAACCCTTCTACATTGCCTTTTAATGCAGTTTGAAATGTGGTCAGTGTAGACTCAGGTTCCATCTGCAGAACTTCCACAAATGTAGTATAGCACTCTCATTAGCATAAGGCACACAGGTTAATCCATTTTAACCCAGAATTAGCATTTCATCTAGTTTGACCCTGGGTTTAAAAAAAAACCCATCAAAGGTCTGGATCTTCCAGTGGAGACTGTCATCTCAGATCACCCTGTGTAATCCCAGAAGTTGGGCTGGCAGTGCTCCCCAAATCTCCCTGCACCCTGTTCCCCCTCCCCGAATCTCCCTGCATCAACCCCCCCCCCCAAAAAAAAAATAGTAAGTTTGTTTTGGCTTTTTTTTTTTTTGTTGTGTCAGGAGCGACTTGAGAAACTGCAAGTCGCTTCTGGTGTGAGAGAATTGGCTGTCTGCAAGGACGTCCCAGGGGATGCCCGGATGATTTGATGTTTTATCATCCTTGTGGGAGGCTTCTCTCATGTCCCCGCATGAGGAGCTGGAGCTGATAGAGGGAGCTCATCTGCCTCTCCCCAGATTCAAACCTGCGACCTGTCAGTCTTCAGTCCTGCCAGCACAGGGGTTTAACCCACTGCGCCACCGGGGGCTCAGCCGCCTTACAGTCACAGCATGATATGTATTTCCTGGTTCTGTATCAGTCAGAACACGGTAGAGCTTTGGAAGAGGAAAAGGAGTTATGAGTTCATCAGATGTGGGGAATTTACATGGTTGTACAGTCTGGAAGCATGGTTGCACAGTCCAACAGGAAATACAGACCATGCTGTGATGATATGGAGGCTTTTCCATCATTGGGGGCGGGGGGGGGGGGGGCACAGGGTGCTGGGATGCTAGAGAGACCCAGCTGATGCCCAGCCCTGCCAAACCAATGTCATTGCAGCTGTGCTGAGTGGCCAGTCCCCCACCACTGAGGCAGCATAGGGCATCGATATATGTAGAATCATAGAATCATAAAGTTGGAAGAGACCTCATGGGCCATCTAGTCCAAGGGGCCAAGAAGCAGGAAAATCGCATTCAAATCACCCCCGACAGATGGCCATCCAGCCTCTGTTTAAAAGCTTCCAAAGAAGGAGCCTCCACCACACTCTGGAGCAGAGAGTTCCACTGCTGAACCGCTCTCACAATCAGGAAGTTCTTCCTCATGTTCAGATGGAATGTCCTTTCTTGTAATTTGAAAGCATTGCTCCGCGTCCTAGTCTCCAGGGAAGCAGAAAACAAGCTTGCTCCCTCCTCCCTATGACTTCCTCTCACTATTTATACATGGCTATCATGTCTCCTCTCAGCCTTCTCTTCTTCAGGCTAAACATGCCCAGCTCCTTAAGCCGCTCCTCATAGGGCTTGTTCTCCAGACCCTTGATCATTTTAGTCGCCCTCCTCTGGAGACATTCCAACTTGTCAATATCTCTCTTCAGTTGTGGTGCCCAGAATTGGACACAATATTCCAGATGTGGTCTAACCAAAGCAGAATAGAGGGGTAGCATTACTTCCCTAGATCTAGACACTATGCTCCGATTGATGCAGGCCAAAATCCCATTGGCTTTTTTTGCCGCCACATCAGAACGCTTCATGAAAAATACAGCCCAGATTTCCATTGTTTTGGCATTTGTTCAGGCTGTAGCAATTGTTCTTGTTTGTGTCTCCTGAGAGAATAGCTAAACTAGAACACAAAATACGTTCCAGTTATTAATCATGACATTTACTGTTTATAAAATACCTAAGCTAGTATAGCCAGTGGCAAGTAATATTGTAGTCCCATTGGACTCAGCATGACTTACTTTTAGATGGGCATGTATTAGATTGCACTGCAAAATGTCCAAGAACTGTGTAGCTCTATGGAAAGAAATGACAGAGATTTGTCTTGCAGAATTTCTAAATCATGTTTACTTATTTTTCTACCATTTATTATAGGTGATGGAACGATGGGAGAATCAAGGCAGTCCACAGACGAGTCTATCCGCTCCAGCTATACCACAGAATATCCCCTTCCCACCCACCCTTCACAGGAGTTCTTTTCCTGATTCAACAGAGGCCTTCGACCCAAGAAAACCTGACCCATATGAGCTGTATGAGAAATCACGAGCTATTTATGAAAGTAGGCGTAAGTGAAAACTATGGTCCCCCACTCTGCAGAGCACTAGAGAACTTCAAACATTGGCCTTTACATGTTCCAGAGCTAGCAGAGAGGCATTGGTGATTAGACCAAAACAAACCAAGCAACAATTCTAATTATTTTTATTAGTACAAGCTTTGTGTACTTATCCTAAATTTCCCATCTAAAATTCCTACTGACAATTTAAAGTGGTAATGTAGATGGAATTGCACAATAGCCATGCCTTTCACTTTGTGCTTGTCATCATTTGGTGCCATGTAAACTGCCATTTTGTTCTGCTCTGGATCTCCACCCAATGCCCTCTTATTTTAACAACACAACTTTTGTTTATATTTCGAAGTGACTAAAAAGCATATTGATTTTTTAAAGCTTCTGTAAATTGAGACCATAAGTTAAAATTGAAACCTCAGATCTTCACTAATATTGTGTGTCTTTTCAAATAACAAGTTATAATATGATGCCATATGTGAAGCTTGTTTCCAGATCTTTCTGAACCAATTTTTCAGGAATTGAAAAAGAGGATGTGCATGCTTTTTGCTATAAAATGTAATTTTCCAAGCCATGTACCAAAGTGGTTTGATACATTTTGATAGTTTTGATCTGATAGTTTTGATCTGTATGTGTGGAGCCCCCGGTGGTGCAGTGGGTTAAACCCCTGTGCCGGCAGGACTGAAGGTTCGAATCTGGGGAGAGGCGGATGAGCTCCCTCTATCAGCTCCAGCTTTTCATGCGGGGACATGAGAGAAGCCTCCCACAAGGATGATAAAAACATCAAATCATCCGGGTGTCCCCTGGGCAACGTCCTTGCAGAAGGCCAATTCTCTCACACCAGAAGCGACTTGCAGTTTCTCAGGTTGCTTCTGACATGACAAAAAAAAATCTGTACGTAATTTTCTACTCTGAGCCAACAATGTGCTGCCACCTATACCTCATTTTTCAATTTTGGGAGATTTGCTATCTTTTGGAAACATATTTATTTATTTATTTCAAGTATTTGTACCCTGCCCCTCTCTACACCCCCGGGGGGGGGGCACAGGGCGGCTTACAGCTGGCAGCGACTCCATAAAGACATATTTAACGTTCCTAGACATAACAGTGTGAGCATCATGATGGAGGAAAGGCAGATGGAGAAGATCTTGTCTAGGAGGAAATGTGTGGGTATCTACATGTTTTCAAAGGACCAATAGAAATCAGAAATTTTTTTAATCTGTGATTATGATTTCTCCCATCTCTCTTGGAAATCAAACGTGCCTTCCCGTTTGATGATATCTACCAATACAACCTGGGACTCCACTGTGATCTTGTATTGTTAACATTAAAATATTCCACCCATGCTTGGATAAGCCTTGGACAAGGTGTGCCTTCCCGCACCTGGCACACCTTGTCCAAGGCTTATCCAAGCATGGGTGGAATATTTTAATTTTAACAATACAAGATCACAGTGGAGTCCCAGGTTTTATTGGTAGATATCATTTGTGCCAGTGGCACAGTGGGTTAAAGCGCTGAGCTGCTGCGCTTGTTGACCGAAATGTTGCAGGTTTGATTCCGGGTAGCGGCGTGAGCTTCCGCTGTCAGCCCTCGCTTCTGCCAACTTAGCAGTTCGAAAACATGCAAATGTGAGTAGATCAATAGGTACCACTCTGGCGGGAAGGTAACGGTGCTCCATGCAGTCATGACGGCCACATGACCTTGGAGGTGTCTATGGACAACACCAGCTTTTCAACTTAGAAATGGAGATGAGCCCCACACCCTAGAGTCAGACATGACTGGACTTAATGTCAGGGGACAACCTTTACCTTTTATCATTTGTGCCATGGAGAAATTTTAAATGTACATGTCCTGCTCAATTACAAACCCATTGTGAATGTTTGGGAAATCTTAAGTCTTGAAATGATGCATGAGAGAAGAGGAAAGTAAGATCTCAGTCTTGCTCCTCCATCACTTAAATTGGTTGTTATTTTTTAAAGCTTTAGAACTCTATTTCATTTTGCGTTGACTCCTATTTACTGCAGAGATTGCAAAACTAATCTAAACTTTCCATTGCATAGAAACTGGAATTCAGTAAAAGTGCTATTTACTTGTATTTTTACACTAGCTACACATCTGCCACATTTGATAAAGATGGTGGAGATGTTACTTTCTATACAGAAAAAAATGTTTCCTGCACAGAAAATTCAGAAATTAAGTAATCAATTTGCACAAAATTAACACATGATTGATTTATATAAAAACATCTTTTTCTACCCAGTAAACAGCTTTTGTTTTGCAGAATGTTCTATGTGAAAAAACAACCATGTGCAAATTTTGTGCAGAATTAAGTGCTGAATTACTAATAGGCTTTGAATACTGTGAGGGGAAAATTGCTAAAATTATTTGTTACCTCTTAGGAAGAAAGTTTGTGAAAAATTATGTACCTATGTTTGTGGTACAGGGATGCCAGGGATTTGGCTCACAATGGATTCCTGTTGGGAGACAAAATCTCCAACCACCACCAATTCTTCCAAATATGTTCAACTTCAGATTAGAGTTGACAGCCTGTGTTTTCACCAAAAATTGTAGTTAACTGTTGGTTTGGAAATAATAGGTAACTAAAGATTAGTTGAAAACAGAAGTGATTTTTCCTGATCTTCTCTTCACAACTGAACTAGAGTTGAAAAGGGAAAGTTCACTCAAGCTCGACTTTTGGCTCTTTTTCTGCCTTGTATATTCATTGCTTTAGTGGCTAAAGGGTTATCCCTTAGGGATCTCCCTTCCGGGAATGGCTGTCAGAAAAGATGAAGGAAGGCCCTGTAATTAACAGGAATTCTTTGTTGTAACTCAGCATCTTTGCTTAAAAGATACTTGACTTGATCTAACATTTTATAGACAGGGCATCCCTTTCCCAATAATTTCTCCCCTTACAGGATTCACTCAGCAGTAAAAGAAATCTTTTTACAGAGTCTTGCACTTGTTATTCAGCAGGGAGGCTCTTGAATAAAACTATGAATAAGCTGAGGATCAATCCCGACAAGACAGAGGTCCTCCTGGTCGATCGTAAGCCGGATTGGGGTATAGGGTGGCAACCTGTGCTGGATGGGGTTGCACTCCCCCTGAAGTCACAGGTCCGCAGCCTGGGTGTCCTCCTGGACTCATCACTTATGCTTGAAGCTCAGGCGTTGGCGGTGGCCAGGAGGACCTTCGCACAATTAAGACTCATGCGCCAGCTGCGACCATACCTCATGAAGTCGGATCTGGCCATGGTGGTCCATGCCTTAGTCACCTCCAGATTGGTTTACTGTAATGCGCTCTATGTGAGGCTGCCCTTGAAAACAGCCCAGAAATTTCAATTGGTACAACAGGCGGCAGCCGGGTTACTAACTGGTGCGACTTACAGGGAGCGGTCAACCCCCCTGTTTAAGGAGCTCCATTGGCTGCCATTCATTTTCCGGTCCCAATTCAAGGTGCAGGTTCTTACCTACAAAGCCCTGAACTGTTTGGGACCCGCCTACCTGTGTGACCGCATTTCTGTATACAAACCCACACAATCTCTTTGATCATCTGGAGAGACCCTGCTCGTGCTCCCACCTCCTTGATTGGTGGGGACGAGGGAGAGGGCCTTGTCTGTGGTGGCCCCCCAATTCTGGAACTCACTTCCCAAGGACATCAGGCATGCCCCAACATTGGCAGTCTTTAGGAGGAGCCGGAAAACGTGGCTGTTTATTTATTTATTTACTTTATTTACTTTATTTGTATACCGCTCTTCTCAGCCCTTAGGCGACTCAGAGCGGTTAACAACAACAGTTTCAATATACATAGTGCAAAGTCATTGGACATTTAAAGCAATAGTAAACAATTAATTAAACATCAGACATCAAAAGTCAATATAACAAATCCATCACGTCTCATCGATAGAATCAGAATCCAGTCTCATTATCCTTATTCCGTGTTCCAATAAGCGATTACACTGCCTAGTCGAATGCCTGTTCAAAAAGCCAGGTCTTCACTTTCCTCCGGAATGCCAACAGGGAGGGGGCCGATCTGATTTCTGTAGGAAGGGCGTTCCACAGCCGAGTGGCCACCACTGAAAAGGCCCTGTCTCTCGTCCCTGCCAGGCGTGCTTGTGAAGCTGGCGGGATTGAGGGAAGGGCCTCCCCAGGCGATCTTAATGTCCTGTTCCAGTGTGCCATCCCAGAATAAGGAAAATTCCTTCAATATGTCCTCAGGATGCACCTTACTATTGGTTTAGGATGGACTGTACTCCCTCATTTCTTTTAAAACCCTATGCCAGATATATCCTACCTTGTTCATGCCCAGTGTTTATTTTTTAAATTTTAAACTCTTACATTTGGCCTGGCCATAGGTTTTTAAATCCTTGTGTGTTGTTGTTTATTAGTTATTGTTTATATGTGATTTATATTAATTGTATTGTATTAATTGTATTGTATTTAATGTTTTTGTTTATTGCTTTTTGTTTTTATTAATGTGTTGTTGGGCTTGGCCTCATGTAAGCCGCTCCGAGTCCCTTGGGGAGATAATAATATTTATTATTATTATTATTATTATTATTATTATTATTATTATTATTATTATGGTAGACAGGGCAGCAAAGTGGAGAGCGACGACCAACGTTGACCTGGTAAGGGAGGGCACAAGCGCTTGTACAAAACCTGTGGGATAAAGGAGACTGAGGAAGGGATAAATAAGAAGGAGGGATTGTACAAACATCAGGTTTAGGACTAAGAAAGGCATTTCCAGAGTTCTCTCTGACATTAAGGTTCCAATCCTAAGCTCATTTGCTTTGGAGCAAGCCCTGTTGAACTCAGCTGGGTTTACTTTTTTACAGATGTTCATTTTTATTTTATTTATTTATTTATATCCTGCCTTTTGTCCAGCAAAGCATTCATATACGATTGCACGATAAGTGTACTTTAAATACACTATACATGCACACAAATTATTTTTCATTATATTAGACCAAGTATCCATGTCTTACTGATAACATCATAGTC